CCCCCAAAACCCCAAAACCCCAAAACCCCATACCATCTTATATTTATTGAACTTCTCCTTCCACTAAATAAAATTCCTATCTAAAAATATGGGTAAGTTCCTTGCTCACCCCTTACAGGTGCTTGCCAATCCTGCGAAGAAGGCTTAGACCAAAATTCTCAAGTTGAATCTGGTCGTACTACAGTAGAACCAGTGGAGATGAAGAAGGAGAAGAAATTTGTGTATGGGGAGAAACCTGGGGAAGAAGAGGTAAGTGGGTTTGGAAGGAGGTTTAGGAAGAGGATGTGGTCTATCTGCCTGGGGACGAAGGAGATTATGTGATTAAGAGTTGAGGAGACAAGGAGTTTGCGATTATTAATAGTGGGAAGTTGAAAGAACTTGAGGAAGAGGTATGTGGTGGAGAGCAAGTTGTGGAGAGGGATTTTGGGTTGGTTTGGGGGTTGGGAGTGGGTAAAGTTTGTGTAGGTCAAGGATTTTGATAAAAGAATCACTATGGCCCGACATAAAAAACAAGAAGCCAACATGAAACTCAAAGACGCTCCACAAGCTGACCAAGCTATTTACAAAAGAACCACTACTGAGCTCAAGGACGAAATCTCTGAGTTGACAGCCAAGAAGGAAGAATTAAAGAAGCTCATTCAGAACGCACGCAATGAGAAGAAGGATTATATCCCTAAGGTAACTTTGAACTTTAGTTAGGACTAGCGTCCAGACTTTCGACCTATGGGCGTTTTGGCAGCTCCTTTGGAAATTTTAAATAAAATTTTAAGGTAGTTTATGCCCAAAATTGCTTCAGTTTGTTTATAAGAAGATTTTAGTTGGTTTCAAAGAGAGTCTATGACAACTGATATGGTTAGTATAGAAGCCCTATCCTGGTTTGCACTCATTACGGTTAGCTGACTTATCTATAGTTCATAAGAAGAATAACCACAGGTGAAACAAATGAATCAGAGTAGGCTTAATCTAATTTTTAGTGCTGTTAAACCAAAAGTTATTCCTCTCCAGTACTTCTATAAAAAGTGCCAAAAGTTACTTTCTGAAGAGTCTTTTAATGAGGTAGGTATTCTCGGTTATTTTTTAGCTTAAGAAGGAGAATAGCTTGAAGATCGACCTTTCGGATCAGGTCGATAAAGAATTCTTTAATGAAATGAAAGAGGAGCTTGTTGAACATAATAATATCTTACCAGATTTGAAGATGATATCTATCGAAGAAATTGATGAAGATATCCAGCCTTCTGTCCTCGAGTTTATATCGAAGTGTTTCCCTTGAAAGCTCAATGCATTTTAATGACAATAGTATGCAAGAATCGCAGATAGCTCCTCCTATTTTAAAGCTACAAAAGCTAAGTTTGAAGTGAGAAGAAGACCACATGGGTTCTGCACAGGAATACCTGGATGCTTTAGCTGAAGGCTCTCGCCAAGCTGAACTTCCTGTGTGTGTTTTCAGTGAAGTATCCTTCGAGAACATGAAATTCGAAGATGCCGAAGTCGTCCAATACGCCTTTAAACTCCTCGCTTGCACCAGAGGAACTGTAAAGTTCACCCACTGCCAGCTAGAGACCAACGGGCTCGAGCTTGAAGCTGTGGAAGGAGGGTACAAGATCAAGACCCTTATTTTTGAAGACTGTGGAGAGCTTAGCAATTGGGCAAGCAGAAGTGGAAAACCCAAAGAGACTTTTAAGATGATGGTCAAGGCTTTTGGGGAAGGAAACTTCTGAGAACTGCTTAAGACTGTTTCATTTATGAATAATGGTATTGCGAAAGGCAAGATTAAGAAGATCTTTGACAAAGAAGGGATCAGTATTAAGGTAATTCACAGAGAAGAAGATATTGAGTAATTATGTAAAAGTTGTTCAATCTAGGCCCTAATATGAGGGGTTTTGGGGTTTTGGGGTTTTGGGGTTTTGGGGG